AATCTCTGTGTGTGTGTGTGTGTGTGTGTGTGTGTGTGTGTGTGTGTGTGTGCGCCTTTGTATTTCTTACATTATGGGGGCTGAAACCTGTTAACACACATTGTGGGGACTCGGACTGAATTTTAGGCTGGTAACATGGTTTAAGGTTAAGTACTGGGGTCAGAGTTAGGTGTTAGGCAAGTAGTGGTTATGGTTAAGGTTAGGATAGGAAATGAATGTAAGTCAATGCAAAGCCCCCACAAGGACTGAAAACAAATCGTGTATGCCTGTGTACCAGCTATGAGGAGCGAGGCTTCCAGTGTGACACGGGACCCGCTGAGGCCACGGCCGACACACTTGTAGGTGCCTGTGTTCCTGGGCTTGACCTGGGTGATTAGCAGGGTGCCGTTGGAGAACAGAAACACTCTGTGGAAAAGAAAACAAATCAGTTTACTAATCTGTATATTCAATTCTGTCAAAACCACTGATCCGCAAACCAAGTGTCACATACTGTATTTGTACACAACGGGAAATGTCAAAGAAATGTTTTCTGGACAAGTACAACTACTCCTACTAGATCCAACTCATATGGCAAATAATTCTTAGCACTTATTTCAGCCTGCCAGGAGCACCAGATGGAGATGTTCTGCCAAAGATTTTAGGCAATTTAACATAGGCCTACTTTTTGTGCTTGACATGTTAATTGATACTGTCTAAATTGCCCTGATTCACTAAACCAACCCAATCTGCTGGTGCAAATAGGTTAAAGTAAATGCTAAGAATTTGTCTAGAGAACACAAAGAAACCTGCCCTACATAGCGAGTTAATTTAAAAAAGTCCTGTGCCTTAGGAGGCCCTCCCTCAGGCTGGCCTCTGACAGCTTGAGGGGGGTAGGAGTACCAGTGATGGACAGGATGAGAAGTAATTAAAAGCTGACCTTAAGCCAGCTCCAGGGTTGACTGATAGGGAGCTGCACATCCCACACAGCACAGGAATCAGCTCCACAAAACGGACACATCAACAGTTCATCATTAGAGAGTTCAAGAGTAAAGTTAATATGTAAAACAAAGGAAAAAGTGAAAGCACTGCTGGATGCATTTAAGATGCTGCATAACTCTTGAGAAGAATTTTCCAAAAGCAGGATTCATCCAGGACTATCTGGTTCTGTAGTGGGTTCCCTCAAGAGGTGATATTTCTGTGTCATCTCATCTTTTCTTCTCTGTTCAATAACAGGAGGGAAATTAGTCTGGGGAGCTTGTGTACATTTCCACCTGAGAAACTTCACTGTGAGGAAAATGTCTAAAATATCCACAAAACAAAATGAATAAAGGCAGTCAATCATCTTTACAGGTACATGGGATGCCACACACAAAGAATCAGTATGGTTTCATATTGCTGGTTTGACATGTGACTTTTCTTCTCTCTGCAAAAATAGCCTCGAGCTGAAAACTGGTGTTTTTTTTCTAAATTCACACAGACTGTATCAGAAACAATTTCCATCAAATATTCAGACATAATCTAGAGGGGGATTGTAAAACATGGTGCAGGAGGAAAACAGATGATATCCCCTGCACAGCGCCAGGTTCCTCTGGCATTATAATCAGCCCAGATCAATAAACACAAACACACGAAACACCAGGCTGCCTTGTAATACCTTGAACAAGAGGCCAGGTGTGTAAAGAAAGTCTTATTTTCCATCCCTCTGCAATCCTGGTGCTGATTCATCACTGACTAGGTGACCAAACCGCCTCTGACAGGCTCATTACATAAATGACTAACTATTGATATTGGACTCCTTCAACCTCTTCATTCATTGAACACAATAATTACTTTAAAACTGAAACCCTGGCTCTTGTTTTCGATGTGGAGCAGGCTGCAATACTGCACAGTATGTCTGTGTAAGAATAAGGTGCTATGTCCCCTCAGGGTATACTTAACATGATGTATAGAAATTGGTTATTATCTAGTGCTTATGTGTTTATATGGGACATGCTGGTAGGCTGACTGTAGCTTGAGGGGTTTTTCCGCCCAGTGCGTGAACACAGGAGAGCTGCAAAGGCTTTTGTGACAGGCAGGAGAGAAAGGCTGCGTTCAAGTGATGCATAGTAGACTGCAAAGTAACTTTACAGTGTTTTGTTCCAGTAATAACATTCCTCAGAGTGTAATACATCTTAAACCTGAGCTGAAACGGCACACAGAAAGCTGAGAGCCAGAGGGTTATGCCTCACTGGGTTCAAAGGAGTACCTACAGCTAAAGCTTGTATAAAGGTAAGTAAGGAGAGAAAATGAAGTAGGAGCAGGATGTGGAGGGAGTGGGTGGAAGAGGACAGTCCTATAAAACTGAGTAAGTGGAAGAATGTACAGTGGCTCCACAAAGTATTCAAACAGAATATCACTGAATGGGTGTGAATACTGAGAGATTTTAGTTCCATAAACATGTTTTCACTTTACCATTATGGATTAATGATTGAAGATTGGGTACAAATAGAAATGTTATCATTTTAAAATTAAGTGCAGATATAGTGAAGCCATTGTATACTAAGAAACCAAAGAGTGATGGAGAGGGGAGGATTCAACTCTCAACATACCGAGACTTGTTTACCAGGAGCTCATTTTCATGGTACCACTCCAACGTGGGGGCCGGCTTGGCAGTGAACCGGCAGTGGAACATGGCCTCCTCATTTCTCATCACCACCTGGTCCTCGGGGGTGGTCACTGGCCGAGGAAAACTCTTATCTGTTAGAGTAGAAAAACATCTGCATGATTACATCTGCAGGCTTTAGAACATCAAGTTCCATCTACGTGGACGCTCCTGCATTTTACTGATCTACTCCAGGCTTTATTAAAAGCTGCCAACAGCAGCTTGGGGCTGGTGAGCAGGCAGCCTTCAGGTGGTGGTGTATGTCAACACCTCAGGGGCTCCAGGGAGACTTAATGAGGTCAGTAAGCAGAACCTGCATCTTATCTGGACCATAATCTTCCTTTTTACCTCATGGCTCGTAGAATTACACATAGGAGATCATCTCCCTCCTCTTTGTCGTGATTTGTTGTCATGCTGTTCCAAGAAACTGGGGTTAGGACTGAAGTGGGACTGACCAATATGTCAGAAAAATCTGATGACCTATTTGATTTGGTAAACTAGAGGGTAGCCTAAACTACGACTAGACTGGTCATTGTGTTTTTAATAAATTGGATTGCAGAATTTTCACAGTAAACTTTAATTCACACAAAACAGATTCAACTGCATCAAAATGTTCTTTCATTTACATTCTTTTGATCGTTTCTACCCAGCAAGCCACCCTCTACCCAACCACTTCAGCTACCACTGAGCAAGGCTGCTCTAACCTTCCAAAACCATAGACTGGTACAGTACAACCTGGAGGAGTAACGTCTACACAGATACAAGGACACTGCCATACACCAAACACAAAGCTGAAGGGTGTTGAGCTCAGTGAAGAAACGAGAACATAAATATACCCCTAATCCAGGTATTTGCATGCGAGCGTTTCAAATCTACACAGCCAATAGAGGGTATGGTGCCAGCACCTGTGACCGCGCATTGAAAACCTGTCTAAATCTTCCAGCCATTCCTAAGGTGAAGCCCCATAGAGGAGCAAAGGGTGGCAACATGGTAACTGGAAACTCAACAATTATCCATTTGTCCTCCACCCAGGTGCTAACCTAGCGTGTCTGCCTGAGTGTGTGTCGCAGGTGGCAAATTAGAGTGGAACAGGGAATCAGATTTCTTGCACTGATGTGCTGCTTTATGTGTACTGTACTTGCTCTATGGTGTGCTGACAATTATTCAGTTGGAGTGTAAACAACAAAAGCCATGTTGGGACCCTGCAGAAATACAGATAACCTCCCTATATAAGAAACTGGGAGAGTCACAGTTACACAGACAGATGTGCAGAAAGACAGTGTTAGCGCTGGAGATGTTTATGATGTTGTCAGGGTGACAGTGCAGGAAGGTGCTAACATGCTGGTAATCACATTAGGACCTTGTTCCTTCCTGTTCTCTTTCACTACTAATGGTCTTCATAGCCGCCAACCTCCCCCTTGTAGGTGTGGAAATGCGGTGATATTTCAAGCAAAAATGAAAACATTCAGAGCTCTTAGCCAATCTAAAAGAGCCATTTGCTGCTTTGCTGTTTTATGTTATTGCAAAAATAAATAACAGAACAGAGGAAGCCATGCCTAAAGTGGCAAAAAAAAAAAACAAACAAAAAAAAAAAAAAAACACACACACCGATGATGTTAAGAGTGAAGTTGCTGCTGCTGCAAACATGTCCAGCTGCATTCTTGGCACAGCAGTAATACAGGCCGTTGTCATCTGGACTGGCGCTCTTGAAGGTGAGCGTCCTCTCCTTGTTGTTGATCTGATGGGTCTTCTCTGTTAGCTTCACCCCATCCTTGAACCACTGGCATGTTGGTCTGAGAGAAAGAGAAGGATTAAAGAGAAAAGGTGTATGAGAGAGGGTTTGGGGAGGGATGACAAAATTAAAAAATTGGAGTGATTGATGAAGCCAAAGAGGGGGAGATACAAAAGGCGAGGGGCGTGTAAAAAAGGAGGAAAGAAAAGGAGGAACATAATGGCACGAGAAAGGCCAACAAGGACAGAAATTAAACTTTACAGAACAGTTCTCAACCTGATCCTTAACCCTAGGAACTCTGAAATTGAGGTGACTGGGGAGGAGACTCACCGTGGGTGTCCATCAATATGACAGCGCAACGTGACTGGCGCAGAGCTCTCGATCTCCGCTTCTGAGGCGGGCTCCTTCAAAGCCACACCACCGCTTTCTAACCCTGTAAACAAAAGAGAATCAGAGGAGAGTATAAGCAGGAGGAGGGATGGTGCAGAGAAATAACTGAGGAGGAGGACACAGGAGAAAGATTTGAGTTAAGTGGTTGTCCTGTCATCTGTCCACATGGGACACACAACAATGGTAATGCACACAGCAGGGATGAGGGCAAAGTTAGCCCATCTCTGTGACAGCACCATGATCCAGGAACAGAGACAGAGCAGGGAGCTACCACATCAGTGGGTCAGCTTACCACTGTCCTGCTCTCAGGAAGGCACGCTGGGTCTGTACAGTACCATTTATGTTGATCTAATAAACAGTTCATTGACTTACTCTGTTGACAGAGCAGCCCATAAATTTAGAGAGAAGGGAGATGGACGACAGTCCACATGTTTCACTTTTAGCCATAGCACCCACCTCATATTGTAGTCAATTCTTGAAAAGTGTATTTGCATCCTTTGCTAAACATTTAACACTGATCAGTGGTGCATTGTTTTCATCACAGAAAGCGCAAATGGCCTCGCAAAAAGACAGGATACATTACAGAAGACAGAGATCCACGATAGCGTAATGTTGTACGGAGGCATTTCATTGATCTTTCAATAAAAAGAACTGCGTTGGCTCCTGTAGACCAAAATTCAGTTTCAGCGTTAGATTGCTGTATTTCATGGAGGTGTATCATCTGATAAAGTCACTGGCTGCTGCTGAGCTAAATGCACATTAACTGGACAAATAATAATAAAAAAAACAAACTATCAGTTATTTAGAGAGAACAGAGTTGACTCCTTCAATGAGTGACAGATACACCTTGCTGGAATTCCCCTTCCCCTCCTGTGTCTATATAAACACTTGTATGTTTACAATGAGCACCAAACAAGGGGTAATTGTTATTTATGTGATGACATATATGCCCTGGTTGCATGACGTGCAGTAGCTGTGCATGCTGTGTGGTTACTAGGTGCATACAAGCATTCACTGAGCACGTTTGTTTGAGTTGTCCTGGTTTATGCACGAGTCTATGGGGGGTTGTGTGTATATATTACTGTAAAACATTCCATAACACTGAGCTCCCTCCCCACAGCCTGTGGCTGAATAGTGCGACTGCATCTCTGCTGCAGTGTGGATCATCTAATGATCTATGAAATATGCATGGAATGAGCCTCCACCTGAGACGGTGCTGAAAAGGGGGGTAGGATGCAGCAACCATGTGAGGTCAAAGGGGGCGCTGGAGGAAAGCCTGTCAAACTGAATTACATAGGAACCTGGCAGCTCTCTGCACTCCAAGGCATCATGGGTAATGTCTCCACAGTAACAGTATCCCCTTCTGAGCTAGGCATCACTCATCCTAACAACTGTGAGTCTAAGTGTTAAACAAATGTGTGTGTTGTGTGTGCTTAAATGCAAGCGTTTGTATGTGATGGTGAGGAGTGAAACAGTTGATGGTGCTGCTCCCCTAAACATGAATGCATGTGTGCAAATGTACGCAAATGACAGTTCAGCTGAACATGCTAAATGATTGTGTGCTCCAGTAGCTCCTGTCAGCTCATGGTGAGGAGGAGGAGGTGATGAATGAGAACCTGGGGCCAGACACTCACACAGACTTGTTACTGGTGCAGTGGATAGTGACAAACCAGAAGGGGAAACAATGAGTTCCCGAGAGGGAGAGAGTAAGAAAAAGTCTGATGGAACAACAAGTATCAGCTGCATCAGGGCTGACAGTCAGACCCAAGCCAAACATCACTGGCAAATGAAACCAAAGAATTTGTTTTAAGCTGCCTAAAGTACAAAGTGGGTATCAAAATGTCATCCACCTACAGATGTTATCCCTGTTGACATCCATCTACATTTATAAGAAATCTTTTACAGTCCAGCAGCATGAGCCTGAAATAAGAGCACAAAGAACTGGGTAGATAGTGTGAGCCATAAGAGAGGCCATGACTGAAGAGACTAAGAAAAGACCTACACAAAGTAAGAAGTAGTCTTCACAGTCGACACACTGCTCGACTGAAAAGTGACCTCTGGATTGTATGCAGACACTGCAGCAAAGAGAGCTTGTCAACACAAACAGCCTTGTGACTGTCTAAAGTTTCTACTACTTCTGAAACATTCTCTTCTCTAGCAGGTTGAAACCAGTTCCTCTGTATTACTACACTTCCAATTTGACCTGGATTTTCAGACACTCACACATTCTAACCCTTTACTCTACTCATAGCACCAGTCACAGTTCAGGTTTCACCAGCTGTCCACATGACAAACAGAAGGCGCTCTTTCATAAGTTATTAGTGGCAAATACTTCATCGTAATCCCTCTCAGAATGCATGACTAAGTGTTGGAGCAGGCCTGGCATCTACACAATAATTAGTGAGGTATAATTATTATGTTGGAGGCAGAACAGGAAGCCCTATCAATGCTGGGATGATAGCAGATGAATTGTGAGGATACTGTCAAAGCAGATGTTTGTACTACTTATCCCTCCCTCTCTGTGCCAAAAGGAGTATGTGCGTGTGTCTGTTTCATTCAGTGAGCTGATTTGTTACCATGGAGAAAGGTTTCTACAGAGAGAAGCAGGACTGTGTTATCCAGGAGAGGGCTGGGGGTATGATTTGACTGACAGCACCACATGGGTATGGAAATAACTAAAACATATGGTAGACTGGCTTCATACTGAAAACAGTTTAAAAGCACAGTGTTGGGAAAAGTGTGCCGACCAAGCACACAGTGTTAAGACGAGGTGTCAGATTTTATCAACAGTGGCTGTCAGAGGTCAACAGGCCAGGCTGCACACTACGGCAAATCAGGGAGATGCTGCTGCTGCTACAAGGCAAGAAAGGAGGAAGAAAGGGGGGGGAAAGGAGAGACTGACACTGGAGCAGTCACGCAGCAGGAGAGAAGCTGACGCATTGAACCGGGTTCATATAGCATGATGAGTGAAGATGTGCTAGTGACCAGTGAGGAAACAAACATGCTGACAACAATGATGCCTGAGCCTCTGCTGGGTGTAGCCTCAAAAAGAAGACCTGGTGACTGGGATGGACAAAAGGATGAAGGGAGGCTAAAAGCTCTATAAGGCTTTACTCTGAATAACTCTCAAATGGCAGGATTTGCCCACCCACCATTGAGGGGAAGATAAATTAACTCTCTCTCTCTCTGCAGCAGGCAGCAGGGCGGCGAGGGAACAGTCTACTCTGATACAGACCATGTACACTACCCCCTCCCTACAATCTTCATTTCTTACTACGCACGCAAACTAGCATACACATGAGTGCACATATACAAGGAATTAATGCCAGAGGGGGTCTTTACTTTAAAGCTGCATGCAGCTTTATTGCCTGTGAAATATATGTTGGACAAACATGAGAACATCTGTCATGACGTGGTTTGTTTTGCTGACAGTTATCCAGAGATGACCTGCAAATTATTACAGAGACAAATATGCTGACATACATAGAGATAGAGCATATAGAAATTTATTAGCTGATTTACATCTGTATGCTACTTTACCTTGTGTGTTTAATTCTGAGAAGCAGGTGCTGTGCTGTATATGACCTTGTTTCTCCTTTAACAGAGGTCAGAATCACTACTGCCAGTGCTTTTCCTATCTCATGTCGTGCTTTAGGAATCCACTCATGTTCATATCTCATATTCTTATCAAACTGACACAAAGTTATTGATCTTACAGCAGAATGTTAGTGTTGTACACTAGTACGCCCACAGTCAATGTCTGCTTCTCAGCCATGTATCTGCTGCATGTGTTGCATGTACATACTGTAGTAGTGTCACATTTGAAAAGGGACAAAAACATTGCCAGCATCATGCCTTTGCCCTCATAGTGGATTTCCTAACTCTTCAAGCAGCCAGTTCCTGTGAACGGCTACTTGATCTAATGCCTTTTTCAACAAAACACTCAGAGAAAGATGGAGAATCCATGTAATGCCTGTGAATATGGAAATATCGCACACATTTGATATTTTAGATCCTGTTACAAATAAACTGCCAGCGAGCAAGTTTATTACTGTGTTGTGGATACACTTTTTGAAAACTTTTACAGAACAAAATGTGGGAGTTTATTTACTTAGACCTGCACTGACAGATTTTTGGCCAACAATGGCATATTTATAAAGTTGACACCAGGTTTATCTGAGCTTTTTGCTGAAAACAGGTGACGTCTACGTCGAGACACACTGCCTCTGAGACCTGTGAGAGTGAACTAGAACAGTAAGGTTATGAGTTGGGATTCCACCAAATGAGCTGATAGATGCTATAAAGCCCTACACAGTTGGTCGGAACTGCAGAGATGATGACAATTATCTGTGGGTTCTTCACAACAAGCTACGCCTTTTACATTACACAGGAATTTTGTTCATTGCTAATATAAAAATATGATCTTTTATGGATGTAACCTGTCAGACATTTTTGTAATCGGTGCATGTTTTGATCTTGGCCCAGATCTTGTCACACCTCGTTACCAGAACAGACTTGAACATACTTTGACACTCTTTTCCCCTATTTGTATGTGAGGAATATATAATCACTGATTAAAAATGTATAACCACCCTTAGATAAACAAGTGCCCATATGCACTTCCATGATTAAAATAATCCAAGAAGAAAAAAAAATTTAAAATTAAAACACCACCTTCCTTCCAATAAAAATATACCTCTCTTTTCCAATGCGTGGGAATGCTAATGACCTGGCAGATTATACAGTTTATTCTGGGACAGCTTGTAAGAACTGGTGCTTCATGTCTAACTTGTTTTTTTCTTCCTTTTCAATTTGTGGGAGTATGTCCGTTGCACCTTATTGACACACTAGATCACGTTTAACTGCATCACATAAAAGCAGTTCTCTTTACATCAGGCGAGGAGTGGAAAACTGATGCGCTTTTTTGTTCTATCTGGCTACAACTTTAAGCACGGAGAGTCTGTGGTCAACATCACCGACCACAAATATTCTCTGGTGGAGACGCATCATATAACAGGAGTTAAACCTCTCTCCCTCCCCAATGACTGTCCTTCTCGGTATCTTTCCTACCAGGAGGTCTGGACACTCATCTGGTCTTGTAATTAGCCTTTGAACAAGTAACATCATGGCAAAGACAAGCCTCCTGGCTGAATGTAGCCAGAGAGAGCAACATATTCCAGATGGAGCCAGTTTTTGAAACAGCTTTGCGTTTGGTTTTCTACTGCCATCTGTATAAACACTGTGTTTTGAAGACACAAAGGCCTTTCAGTAGCAGGTGGTACCTGAGGGCCTTCCACAATATGCAAACAAGGTTGTTATTTATCCTAAACAGGGCTGTGCATAATTACCACGGCTTTCCCGTGAAACTTAAGAGGGTCACAGAGGTTTGGTTATGGTAATAAACACAAAATTAAGATACTAGTGTGCCTCCCTTTCATGGAACAGGCTGGTTTGAAGATGACAGTGAAAAGCCTGACATGAATAAAAAGCTGGAGCAAAGAGTACAGTGTTAACCTAAAGCTAAATAATTATTCAGGCAGAAGGTAAAACTATACTACTCAGTAATTTCCAGACAAAAGCCTTTTGACAGTATATGGGAAAATACGGTGTTACACAATGAAGGAAAAAAAAAAGATACAAGCAACAAGAAACACATGGTCGGTGGCACACGTATCCAGTTTCCTTTGGAGAGAGGCAGAGGAAGCCATGAAGAACAAGGCAACAAGGTGGAAACATTCCTTCAGCTCATACTGACTGTCATCTTATACTGTGACTTTTGTTTTGCTTTTTTGATCCAGAAACAGGATGTACACCCTTGTCGCCATTCTGAAACCCTGTCACCTGGCAATTTTCACTGATCAGAGGCTTTTTAGAATGAGGGTGGGAACAGCTTGAAATGAAATACTCACACTTGATATTGAAGGAGGCATTGGTGGAGTGCAGCGCCTCTCCTGTGACCTTGTTTTGTGCGACACACTCAAAGTTTCCTGCGTCCAGCTGCCGGTCCACAGCAGTGAATTTGAGGTTGCTGGCCTCCAGGAAGCGCCTCTCGTCGTTTTCCAGAGCCTGGCCATTGTGAAGCCAGCTGTAAGTGATGTCAGCCGGATCGCTGACCTCACAGCGTAGCATGGCGCTGCGGCCGTGCAAGGCATCTTGGGACTTGGGTTCCTTGGTAAACTGGATTGCAGCAGCCTGGATGGACAGAACTGGAAAGAGGAGGCAAGTGAAAGACAGAGGATTAGAATGGGGCTGCTGTTAACATGTTACTGCTTTTTTCCATTCATTAAGTGTCTGCCATAGCAACCATTTAGCTTTGTGGAGGAACGTGATGTTTAGACACTACTGGCTAGCTGGGAATTGTTTTGTTGCAAAATTATCAGACCCAACACAGCGAAAACACTTTTTTCTCATTGGTGTGGCTGTGACATGAGTGGGTTAATATGACAGTTACATACACCGGCTGCACAGTCATGAGCCATCACCTCATGACCCAAACAAGACATAACATGTTGCACACATACTCATGCACATTTAAATCATGTATTTTGTTTGCTTTGTGAGAGACTGCACTGTTTACCCACATCTCACTGGAGGAAATGATGACAGTGTGATCTGCACTACACACTAAATACGCTGAGAAAGTGCAACTCCTGAAGGACGGCATATGTAGAGTGCTTCCACTGTGTACTGTCCTTAAAATGACTGGAACCACCCCTTTTTATTTTAGCGTTAGTGTGTTGATGATACTAAAGCCCTTGCAGTCATGGCTTTCATTTGAGACATCAACAGATTTTTTTTTTTTTTTTTTTATCTCACAGCTATCTCACAGGTCATTTTCTGTAGAGAAAATTGCTAAAATCCACATTTTAACAGTAAAACTATTTGTTTTCTAACCCAACCACTGGTGATCTTTTAAGGCAAGTGCCTAAATATACACACTAGTCCAAGTTACATGCAAAAGAATTTGAATTTAAGTGTTGAATAGTCATAAATTAAACTGAGATGTGAAATTCATACTCAAATATTAGCCCAAGTGCAGAAATGTCTAATTCTTGCATTTAACTCTCTAAAATGAACTCATCTTTTTGGAAGCTAGCTAATGTTTTAGATGAAAAAAAATATTACTTAATGCAATATTACAATGTAAAATACTACAAGTAAATTCAGTAAGTACTCAAGACTTAACAGTAAGATGTTGACATTAAAAGTACTTTGCATGCAGACTTCAATATACTGTATAAGCTGAGTTGAAACACTGCAGAGTGCCTAGGTGAAGCCAGTTAACACCCTGTATGTTGTTGTGTAGTTTAGTCTTTTTAATTAGATTGTACATGAGTTTTTTTTCCTTAGTGTTTTCACACACTGACTGCATGTTTCCTGCATGGCGGCATCACACAAACGTTTCTCCTTCATATGCCAACTTTTGTACTTGGTGCTTTTATCCAGGGAGAACAATTTGAACGCAGACAGCAGCACAAATATCTGCATGAAGATGGAGATATTTGTGCTTCCTGAGCTCCAGCAGCCCCTCAACCTCCAGCCAGGAACAAGAGAGAGTGCCTCTCACAGTCAAAACCAGTTTAGGTAAGATGACAGAGTGAAAGAAAATTACTGAGCTGCTGTTACTTCTATTAATCTTTTCATTCAACTCCCAGGAGAAATAATTATATTTCCCAAAATGTCAAACTCGTGTGTTTATGGTTGAAAGCTATCTATAACTAGAGAACAAAAGTTTTGAATTTACACAATCTCAGCTAGGACTCATGACAACAGAAGACATGTCAGTGTGCTGAACATCAATTCCAACATAACTGCTTCACTTTGCAAACTGTAATCTGACAAAATTAGGACAAAAGCCAACATAGGATCAAACCTTGTCTGAAATTTCTATTAAAAGAAGAGATGTAACCAATAGTCATTCCTCACAACTACATTAAAACATGGATCTGTTTGTAGCTGACTTTGAGGCCCACTATGTCCAGCGTGAGAAGCTCGGAGCAGGAGGATTTGGATCAGTTTATGCTGGAACCAGAAAAGCTGATAATTTACCTGCGAGTACTGCAGTAGTCATACACTGCACAAACGCACTCACACACACACTGCACTAATCCATATACTTGTGACTCTATCCTGTAGGTGGCGATCAAACACATCGCGGTAGCAGATGTGAAGAGAGAACCAGTGGTGAGTGATCTGATCTAATGTCCCAGCAGCAACTGTCAAAATTATAGATGAACTTGTTACTTTGTTGATAATGAAAACATGCACAATGTACACTACCAAATCCTTTTAAAACACTAATTTTGTTATGCATTACATATATCTTTTAGCTCTTAAATGGGAAGACACCTATGATCACCTTTGAGGTTCTTCTCATGCAGCAAGTGGCACGTGGACCAAATGCAGTGGGCAAATCTCCTACAGTCTCACTCGATGACTGGTATGATTTAGAGCATGAGGTTCTCCTGGTCATGGAGAGACCAGTACTGTCTATGGACTTACTGAAATACAGTGACAGCCTAGGTCTCCTGGAGGAAGACGTGGCTAAGGTACTGAAATTGGTGGAGCAAAATCATTAAGCAGCTGGTGGAGGCAGCAATTCACATGCACTCTAAAGGGGTCTTCCATTGTGACATCAAATTAGAAAACATTCTGACTGAACCCAGCTCCAATGGTCCTTGAGTGCGAGTCATAGAGTTTGGATGTGGCTGCTTTGAGAAGAGAAGATACAAGGACTTCTCTGGTATGTAGTCTGGCTTCGGCTCCTGCTCATCATTCGCCAGTTGATCTCTGGAGTAATGACTTTCATTTTAATGTTGGCATGCTCCTCATCATTTTGTTTCTGTGCAGTGTAGGAACCAGAGCCTTCATCCCTCCAGAGTTGTACAGGAATGGGACATACACAGCCAGGCCCACAACAGTCTGGCAGCTTGGCACACTGGTCTATGAAATGAGGGCTGGACACAGCTGGTTCACCACCGAGAAGTTCCTCAACAACAAAAAAAAAACTAAACTAAGTACCGTTGGATGTCCCGAGGTAAGACAATGCTGGTGTCACTATACTACTTGATGTTTTGTACTGATACTATTTAGAATTTGTTCCTGCCATGTTCCAACACGTTGCTGCAGCTTCCACCCCAATATTAGCTTTGCTGCTGTCCTCTCTCCTCTCAGACTGCCAGGATTTCTTGTACTTATGTTTGGCTCTAAAGCCTGAGGAGCGCATCACTCTGGAGCAGATGCAGAAACACCCCTGGCTATCCCAACTCTGCACAACACAGAACATAAATCAGCATTTTTCAGTGCTTTAATAAACCTAAACCCCGACTATAGCCTGACCTTGGCCTTGTTGTTCTCTATACTAACCCCCTTAAGGGGAACTAATGCTTTGCAAATAAAAACAATTCAGCTTAGTTTATTTGTTTTTTTGGTAAGTTTGTGACATTTACAGAGAAATTACAAACCAAAAGTCTGGTGTTGCACAAGAAATAAAAAACCAAATATTTTAGCATGTGCATGCAAAAACCTTTATCATCCTCTTGCCACTGTGCCTGAAACATTTTCTAGAAGAAACACTGTGACCACACTTTAGTTGGCTGATTAAAACAGACAGGAATAGAGAAACAATGACACTATAATCCAGTGCTGTTATTGTTAATCCACCACACTTGTTTTTATCTTTCACACCAGCCAGGGCGACTGATAGCTTCTCTGGGGAATCCAGGTTCATTTTTCTCTTGGAGAGAGTGTATGACAGGTCACAGCCCTGTGATCTTTGTTTTAGCTATAAATGCAATGTAGGAGAAACATTTACAGGCACCTGCTGCTAGATGACTAGCTTCTACTGTATCAGGCTAAAACTCCTCACTTGGAATCAAATGTCACCTTTTCACCTCAATTTGTGTCATTTCAGCTGAAGTGATGACCATCTCACTTCATTTCCACACATACATTTTATATCTGATTGCAGCAACTCTTATTCTCATTTTCTGTTGATGCGCTGTCTCGATATCAGGTGACGATCTCTAAAACTCAAACAAGAGACGCACAAGAACAGATTTAAAGGGCACACTCACAAATAGTATAAACACAGTCGTATAACAAGACAAAACTGCCACCCCTGGTCCCCTCTGCCACCAGTGCCAGTCACTCAGCAACACAAATTACACTGAAGTTGTATCTGTCTAACCAAATCAATATAGTTAATTCAAGCCAGGAAAGGCGACGCTTAGATCTGCACAGAGTGACATTTCAAAAAGATAAGGAGGGCAAATGTTATCCAAGCTCCTAAGGAGGGCCCTTCAGAATGAAAGTGTTGAAAGGGAGAGTCAAGGATGAAAGGGGAACAAACAATGAAAAATTGTGGTATTGAAATGAACTGGTATTGAACTGAAAAATCCTGTCTGTAGTGAACTAACCACAGCATGAGAAAAACAGCAAAGTAGAAAAAAATCATTAAAGGTACCCTGTGGAATTTCTGACACCATTTTCATGCTATTCGGCTGAAAGAATGTTGGTGGTTGCAAAGAGGTACAACAACACACCCACAACGGCTGTGAAGAGCAAAGCTGTGAGGTAGCAAACATGAAAGTAAGCTATGCTCCATTTTAAAAGATTAAAAAAAGCTGCCTTACAAATGTTTTATGAGGAAGGAAACACAATTACAACAGTTGTAGGACAGAGGCTAGACACGGTGCGTTTGGGTGAGAAACACTGAATATAAACAGTTTGTTTATGAAGTAGCTCCATGGTGCACCTTCAGGTTTTACAATGAGAGCTTTAATAATAAGAAATCATTACAGATTCTTCAATGCATTGTCTTTTTTTGTTTTGTTCTGTAACAAAATGTCAGAAACTGTTAGATACTGCATATTTAAAATTTTGAGAGCAAGGGCGATGTCTTCTGACCAACAATCCAAAATCCTTTTACTACTATTTAACATTTTGTATTTTTTTAAGCCAGAAAGCTTCATAACTGTGGCAGAATGTGATGATTTGGTAAATCAAAGCTGTAGAAAGCTGTGCCTAGTGCGGCTCTCTGTGTTCATGGAGCTTCCATCTCTTCAAAGATTCACAAAAACAGAAAACTAAAGGAGCCCTGGCTCTAATACCAATCAATATGCACTTGCTGGGAAAAGCTTGTGACAAACTTGCTAGTGCAGCCGGATGTACAGAGAATGTCATGAAATATTAATAGCTCTACATT